AAGAATACAAGTAGAGGTAGAGGTTCACTCGGGCCAGGTGGTGAAAGAAGAAGTAAAGGGATGGCTTGAAGATGTTCAAAAGATCGAACAAGACATTCAAGATGTTGAAGAAAGAGTAGGCACAGTTCCATCCTACAAACGTGCCAGCCTTGATAAAGATGTGCGTAAAATTATTGAAGAGGTGAAGAGGATTCAAGAGAGGCGCATTTTCGAAGGAGGCCTTGGGATTGAGAGAGCTCCAGCTTGTGGAATTGTAATTCCAACAGAAAATTTAGAGGGTGAAATTTCTACTAGAGATGAAATTTGGGAGCACTTGATGGGCAATAAAGTTGGAATGATTGGGGTTTGTGGTATTGGTGGAGTTGGTAAGACTACAATCATGAAGCATGTTAACAATGATTTGTTGACGGGGAACAGATTCCAGAAAGTGATTTGGGTTATTGTATCATACCCTTTGAATATTTTTGAAGTACAAAAGGAGATTGCTGAAGCTATGGGTGTGAAACTCCAAGATGAGAAACAAATGAGGCGGGCAGCAGCACTAATGGAGATAATGCGAAGAAAGACTTTTGTGCTAATATTAGATGATGTATGGGAAAAGTTTTCTCTCAAGGATGTTGGAATCCCAGAACCAACTGTGCAGAATGGGTGCAAAGTAGTTATCACTAGTCGATCAGTTGAAGTATGCAAGTTTTTGGATTGTGAGATTGTTAAAGTGCAGCCTCTTTCACAAGAGGAGTCTCTAAACCTATTCCTAGATAAGGTTGGACGTGCTGTTTTACAAAACGTGCCGGAATTGGAAGAAACCTTGAAGCTTATTGTGAAGGAGTGTGCTGGTTTACCACTCGCTATTGTTGTGATAGCAGGGAGCATGAAAGGAGTGGATGATATTAAGGTGTGGAGAAATGCATTGACTGAATTACAAGAATGTGTTAAGAGTGTGAAAGGTTCAGATGATGAGATATTTATGCGGTTAAAATTTAGTTTTGATCGTTTGCCAAATGAGAAGATCAAGAATTGTTTTCTTTATTGCTCCTTGTTTCGTGAAGATTATTCATTTGTATGGGAGGAATTGATAGAAGGTTGGATTGATGAAGGGCTAATGGATGGATTGAGAAGCAGGGAAGCAGCTTATGACAGGGGCCATGCCTTTTTAGATGTGCTTGAAAAGAATAGCTTGTTAGAGAAAGATTTCAGCTTCGAGGAAGCAATTAAGATGCATGATGTTGTGAGAGACATGGCTATCAAAAGCATTGGTCCTGGAGTTGGATATATGGTAAAAGCTGGTATGAAATTGACAGAGGTACCAAATGAACATGAGTGGGCCAGAGATCTTAATAAGGTATCTCTAATGGCAAATGACATTTCAAAAATTCCTGTTGGATTGATTCCAAAGTGTCCGACCTTGTCAACTTTGATATTATCGGACAATCCTTTGACAGAGATTCCAGAATCCTTTTTTGAGGATATGAGTCGACTCAAGGTTCTTGATCTTTCTAGAACTCATGTTGAAGCTTTACCTAGTTCCATCTCTAAGCTGAAGTATCTCTCTGCGTTACGGTTAAGGAGGTGCAACAAGTTAAAGTGCTTGCCTTCCTTAGAGAAGCTTGTGGCATTGAAGAAGTTGGATCTGCAATGGGCAAGAATTGAGGTGGTCCCTCAAGGCATGGAGATGTTAGTAAGTCTTGAATATCTTGATTTATATGGTACAGATTTGAAAGAGATTCCAACAGGAATATTGTCTAAATTATCTAGTCTCCAGCATTTAGTGGTAACAAACCGTTGGGGAAGACCCAGTGTAAAGATAAACTTAAAAGAGGTTGCTAGATTGAGAAAGTTGGAGATTTTAAAATGTATTTGTGATGACATGCAAGACTTTAATTATCTTTTGACTGAGTTAAAAAATTTCAAAAGTTTTATTGCTCTTTGGCTTTTAGTGGGAAAACAAAGCTATACTAGAGGAGTTGAACATCCTAAATATCAATACAGACTCACAATTAGTGAGAGTGACATTGGAGAAAAATGTATGGTGCTTCCAGATAAACTTCAGTATTTGCGGATCCATAAATGTAAAAACATCAAAAGCAGCTTAAACAAAATAGCTTTGTTAGAAAATGCAACCGAGTTGGGTCTTTGTATCATTAGTGATTGTGAAGAGATAGAGTACATGGTTGAGTTGGATTCATCCTTCTCCTCATCATGTAAACCAATACTTGATAAGCTTGAAGATCTGCGTCTTTGGGGTTTGCCTAGGTTGTGGGCACTCGTGAGAGTGGAAGGAGTAGCAACACCGTCACGTGTCTTTTCCAATCTCAAGACACTTCAGATATTTAGTTGTTTAGGAATGAGGAAGTTGCTTCTAATTGAGCTACTGCCGGCCTTCCAAAACTTAGAGGTGATTGGTGTTGATGGTTGTGAACAAATGGAGGAGATAATAGTCTCATCAGATTCAGATGCATCATCGGATAAATTCAGTTTCATTTTTCCTAAATTAAGGCGATTGCAGTTGTGGAGGTTACCCCAATTAAAGAGCATCTGCAGTGCCAAAGGAGTTATGGTTTGCGATTCTATTGAATACATTTCGATAGGGGAATGTCCTAAGTTAAAGAGGATCCCTGTGCAGCTTCCCATGCTTGATAATGGTCAACCATCTGCTCCTCCTCATCTTAAAGGAATTGGGATAGATAGACTCTCAAAAGAATGGTGGGAATCATTGGAGTGGGATCATCCTAACACTAAGAACATACTCCGACCTTTTCTTAAAATAAACTGATTATTGAATGGTTAGTATTTAATCAAATTTGAATTTAATTGTTTAGTTGCTTAAAATTTTTTTCATCTCAGCTGCAAGGGCAGTCCTTGAGAATATTCAATTTTGTTCAGATGACTGTAGAGTAACAGATGTGTGTAAATAATAAGTCATGTGCAACCACAATAACACGTGGCAGTAGAAGCTTTTCCCCTGCAACACACGATAGGAAAATCGATGTAAGGAAAGAGGTCTTCTGGAAGAGATGAGATTAAGATGCATCCACCCTCTGCACTCATGTCTTAAAACGCCAATTTAGTAAGTTGTGATTTCGCTATTCTTTGATTTTTTTGAATTTTGGTGTTTTCAAGTACGTAATTTCATTATTTTATTCTCTTTCTTGGGTTTTGGGTATGTGCTGCGAAAATTGAGTCCCTTTTGATCACCAAGTAAAATAGCTTCAACAAAGCATCATGTTAACAAAATGAGAATTGAGTTTGTCATCTTCAAAATTTAGGAAAAGATGATCAACTAATAAAATCGGGGTTTGAATATTGATATTTCCTTTTTTTTTCTTTTTTTTTTCTTTTTTTGTATATTTATGATATACTAAGATTTCTCAACATCTTGCAAACTAGCTTGATACTATGGAATCAAATTGCATCACTCACTATGTCTTCAATTCCTATAGTTTTTCTTAGGATTGATTTGTTGGTCACTTGTTTCCAGATTCTGACATATTTTAAAGCTCTGATATTGCATTTAGGATCTTTTATCAAGCAAAGGCAACTTCTCTTGGTGGGGCAGCGAAGCAAAAGAAAAATGAGACTCAGCCAAGGCCAATACTCCTTGACATGGTTGACAATAATCTTGTTTTTGTTTCAATTTATGTGTCTTTTATTTATTGGATGGACTTGGTTTAGTGCTGATTTCACTTGGTAATTTGTTTTGTGTTGTAATTAAGTTGTCAAGCGTGTTGTGTCATGGGATTTCTACTCTGTTTGATTGATAGAATGTGACTCTGTTATCAATTTGAAATGTAATTTTTGTAATACCTTTCGTGTTTGATATGTTGTTATAATTTCAAATTCCCTTTGCATTGCTGACTTGAGCATTGAATTGGAGAACACTCTGGCAGCCCTTCATCGCCGGCCTTGTTACACTTTTGCAGGTTTTTTTTCCTACCTAGAAAACCATATTTATTTATTTCATTTTCTTATATCATTTGCAATCCTAGATTCTTTTGGTCGCTAAGAAGGAAATAATTGTTGTAGATTGAAGTGAACAGTAAAAGGAATTCAGTTTAGGAATCACCAAAACAAAAAAAGCAAGGCATGGTGGAAAATTACAGCTTTAAAATAATTGCTCAGCTCTCATAAAGTCGAAGTAGTAAATATATTTTGACTTGTTTACTGCATTTCATTCTCTTTATTTTTTCTTTTGCTTGTTCCCTAGAGTTTTGTTCGTTGGTTGTTTGATGGTAATAGTATTAAGTGGGCCAAAATTTTCAAAAAGTAAGTTTAACAGAATTGTGGGTGGATGAAACGACATTGTTCTTTTATTATTCCATTTCACTTTCTTCATTTTTTTTTCTTAATTTTGGGTTTTATTGCATTTTTGTGATCTTTACATTTTCTTTATAAATTGGTTTCTAGTTATAGCTTAAATTAAGCACCTTTTGATAGTTGAGTCAATTAGCTCAAGCTCAAGGTCTCCCTTTCCTCTGGGTTTTGGTTGCTTCAATGCCTAAATTGCTTCTTATATACACATTACTGGAGTGCTTCCAATAGTTATCCTTTTCTTTCTATGGAGCTACATTTTATGCTCTTAACTAACATTTTTCTTCTTTCTTTCATTTTACTTATTGCAGATGCATGGATTTATGCTCATGAAGCAGTTGAAGATGGGGAACTTGGTGATGATGCTGATGATGTTAATTTTAATGGTGAAGATAGATTCTAATGGTGAAGCTAGTAGGAAAAGGGGGGTAGTTTTCGATTTGTGGGGTGAAGACAAGTATGAAGATGCCATCAAATTTTCTTTCTATGAACCTACCAAAAATTGTTATGGAAAGAAACTTCAATTGACAGTAGAGAAGCAAAAATAGTGAAAGGTCTTTTCTACTGAGAATGAAAATCATATATATATATATATATATATTAATGATATGATTCTGATTAGTTATCAATGATTGTGAATTCGTAGAATCCATCAATGCCTTCACCTCTTCCTCCTGAACCAGTTGCTTTCAACTATGGTTGTGATGCAAATCATGATATCCCTCTTGCTACAGTTACTAGACCCACTAAGGTTAGTGTATTTACCTTAGTCCATCTCCATGCATGCTACTTCCCTCTTGTTCTATGAAATTGAGCGGTGATTATGGTCTTTTGATTTAGAATGTTCAAATTATCTTAGGAATTGCAGGGGAAAGATAGGGAGATTGGCCATGGAAGTTGAATTTAACCGACAGTAGGAGGTGTATCAAATAGATTGAATTGACACATGTATACTTTTACCATTTTAACTCATATGTTTTCTTTGGGACATACAGCACAGGAAGTGTAAGCAAAATAGAGGCTTTAGCAAGAGGTAACTTGCATTTGGTGTTATGTTTTGTTGATTACTCATCATATCCATGTCGTGGCTTGTTTCTGTTGCCTTTGATGGTCTATTAGCCTTTCATTCATGCCATGACAGTCTAGAATTTTTTATTTTTTGTTTTGCAGATTGGCCACCATTTGCCTCAATTGTTCATAATGATATATTGATTTATCTAGAAAAGTTGATCTACATTGCCTTTTCATCGTTCTTAGGTATGCAAGTTTTTTCATTTTCACCATATTATATTTATTGACTGAATACATTCAATTATATACATGATATTATACATGACGTTACGCTTATCAATGTCTGTATTGATATATGTTATGAATGGTAAATGTATATTTCTTCCTTATGTAGGATTGGTTCTGTGCTTTTGCTGGAATGTCACGGCTGCTACTGCAGCATACATCAACGGGGAAGGATGGAATCCAGGCAGTAATGAGACTGCTTCAGCGAATACCTATCCAATCCAAGAAGCATCATACTGGGGAATTGGATCTAGTCTTGCCATCATGGAGATAGTTTGCAACATCTAACAAGAACTAGAGATCAACCAACACAGTTTTGAACGTTACACAATTGTCAGAAGATTAGAAAGATGCTTATATCTGTTTATGGTGAATGGAAGGGCAAACTCTTGACAGGGAACAGAGATCTTATCTTGAAAATTTTGTTGAGTGTGTTCGCTGGTGCTTACTTGCCGGAACTAAATGATACATGGAATGATATTTTGTATGCATATTTGTTGAACGGTTGTGAAAATCTTGGTGATCCGAACCTCCTTGGAAATTAAGAGGGTAAAATCAAGGTATTGATAAAACAAAGAATGAGTCTTCATTTCCAAATCAGTTTGCTGCTAAGCATTTTCCAAATCAACTAACGATCTTCTGACGAGTAAAAAAATATTAGGCTTGCAACCATCCAAATCTGCTGCCCCTTATAATTTAAACACAATGAACATATCAAAGTTTTCTTGTAAATAAATGACTTTACTAGTAAAAATGCATTCACTCTTTGTTAGATTTATTCATTTTTAGGTGCTTGAAGTTCAAGTACATATATAGAAGAACATATCTCTAAATCATGATATATTTGAATCGTGCATGTTTTTCTTGTTAAATATTTTTATTTAATTAAAAATTTTTAATTATTA